CTCAATTAGCGACTTCACATACTGGTATATGCTAAAAATGAAAATGTCATGATACATTTCTATTATTTCTATTATTTATGGTCAATAAATATACATAATAATTCGAAAAAATACGATCATACAGAAAAGCAGATTCATATTGCTGACATTAAGAATTCCAATAATACAAAGCTGCCCTAAAGGATTACACTAAATTGTACATGTTTACCTGTAACAAATCAGTTTTTAACGTCAAATTACTGAATTATTAGTCAATATTGTGCATAAAACCGTTATGATATTTAAATGTGGTTACAACGGTTTTTTTTCTCTCACACAATTAAGTTTGCTATGGAAATAACTTGAATAATTTGATTCTATATTTCACACATGATAAAATGTTAAGGAATGTCTCTAGTAGGCATCATAATTGATTGGACAGAGATCTCGTCTGTTACCCAGAGAGCCACACCGGAAGTTACGTTCTACTTCTACACTGGGATGGTCTATGATTCCTCTCTGTATAGGTCTCCGAATTCCCATAGTTTTAAGTCTGTTGCCATGGATATCCGAGACATTACCTAGTGCTTCGTAGGCCTGAAAATTAAAAAAGTAGGTTTAGATAAGCACGATTTTGGTTCTTGCTTTTCCTAGTCTTAGTATTTTGACCGAGTGATATGTCTTTTTTTATTTATTGACTGTTTGTTATTTCATTGATGTCTAGTTCATATTGTTTAATCGATATTTCAAATTTATTCATATTAGAAGCAAACTAATCATCAAGCTATAATATTTCTTCATATTTCGGTATCCAGCAAATGCGTATAGACACGTCGGTACATTTTTAAAGATAACATACTACACGTTCTAAAAAATATTGAATTGTACCAAGCATTTTCAAATGTCACTCCAAATATGCACTCTCTCTATGAAAGAATAACAGATGTATGGGTATTATATGATAAAATAAAACATTTTAATGTACATATCAAACACACTCACCTTTCTGGACACTTTAATGGGGCATCTCATTACGATCCACTGAACCGTTTCATAACAAGGTGGTGTAGTCAATGAACCGTGGTATGTATAGAAACTCCAGTCATAGGGCAGAACGTCACTTAAAGCTATCTGCTCTCGAACTTCTACATAGGTATTTTCTATTCTTTCTTCAATACAGAAAATGACAAAATGAAACTTTCTCAAATGGATGTAATTTGTAGAGAATTCAGAAATACAAAAATGCAAAGAATATTATGTTTCAAAAAAAATTTATGCGTAGTACTTAACTGCAAATACTTTATGAAGGTTTGTAAAGCAGCTTGTACAGGCTTTATTCTTAAACATTTGATTTTTCTTATCTTCATCTTTTTATGTTAACATTAAAATGTTGTGAAAATAAACATTAATTAATTAATTTTTTCTTAAACCCTGAAGCAATTTAAAGTGAAGAGAGATCGATCTCATTAGAACTTTAGGCAATACAAATTTGCATTTAATTGCAAAGAGATAACAATCAGTATTAAAAGCAATATGAGCTGCATTTTGAGAAAATTTGCTGTTAAAATGTGTTGTATTGATTAATTTGTATGTAATTTAAACTGTTATGATCAAGAAAAGCAAAAGAAAATTTTGAATTGTTTCAGAAGAAATATTTCTGAAATAACCTATGGTATAGAGGGAAATATGTTTCTTTGGTTAAAGAGTTACATAGAAGGTAGATCACAAAGAGTTTTATACAGAAACTTGCTATCTGACGAAAAACCTATACATGTGGGTGTCCCTCAAGGCTCAGTGTTAGGACCTCTATCATTTCTTATATATGTTAATGATGTTGCTGAAGAAATGAGTTTTTGTAGATTATTTGAAGACGATAACTCCCTACAACAGTCATCTAAAAATGTTAATACTATTGAAAACAAACTGAATTCTGATCTTAACAAGCTAGAAATTTGGTCGAAAAAATGGCTTTTTAAATTCAATCCTTCTAAAACTAAAGCAACATTTTTTAGCCTGAGAAAAGGTGTTATTTATCCTAAACTCTTCTTCCAGCAAAGTCAGCTAGAATTTGTTTCTTCTAATAAACATTGAGGGATTTTTTTCTCACAAGATCTTAGTTGGTCTACACATATTGATACTATTCTAGCTAATGCATATAAAAAACTGGGCTTGTTAAAAAAACTTAAATTTGCAGTCAACCGAAAAACTCTTTCAGTCATGTACACAACCTTTATTAGGCCACAGTTACAATACGCTTCCTTGATGAGGGGTGGATGTAATGTAGGCGACAGCGAAAAATTAGAAAAATACAACTATGTGCTGCTAGAATTGTCAAAGGCTTAACTCTGTTAGCTTCTAAAGATGCACTTCACTTTGAATCTGTATGGGAACCATTACATGAAGGAAGGAAAAAGACTAGACTAACTACAATGTATAAAATTGATAAAAACCAAGTTCCTGAATATCTAACTGATATAATCCCAAACTTACGATATAATTCATCAAGTTACAGTACGAGAAACTCGCAGAATTATAATATACCCAAATGTAGATTGCCAGCTTACAAGTCAACTTTCGTTACCCTTGTTATTGAAGAATGGAACTCGTTACCTCTTAATGTAAGAAATTCTTCCTCGTTATCTATTTTTAGAAACTCTATTTCTTGCAATAAACAAATGCCACCCTCTTACTTTAGTTATGGAACTCAACGCTTAAATATAATTCACACGAGGCTTAGACATAACTGCGTGCTTAATAGCGATCTTTTTCTATGTAATGTAATCTTGAGTCCACTATGTTCTTGTGGAAGAGTAGAGGATACTCAAAAAATATACAGAAGCCAGGAAAGAATTTTCTGACAAATTTTTGCGAATGGGTAAATTTCACACTGTCGATACTCACACTTTACTCTGGGGAGACAAATCGTTTAAATGATGTTGAAAATGAAAACCTATTTTCTATTGTACAAACTTTAATTAAAAAGTCAGGACGATTTGGCTGATACAATAATTATTTCTAATTGTAAATTTTATACAGCATGTTTATTACATATGGAATGTATTCTATTGAATGTGTTTTACTCTGATTATTATATATTATGTTTTTCTGTGTTATTTCATCTTAAGCGGAAATCCATTTGTGTAAATATGTTTGGTATAATGTATATGTAGGGAGAGGGCGTAATAAGTTTTTAGAACTTTTGCCCAATCCCAATTGTAAAGTGTATACAATAAAATATGTTCAAATCAAATCAAATATTTCTGTACAGTCGAATGAATAGCACTATAAGAAATCATTATTGTATAGGACGACAATAATGTTATTTTGCTTCAATTAAAGCTTATAAAAAGTTCTTCCATTGCAAATATGAACAACAGATGTTAATAAATGTTTTACTTTTCTGTAATTGAAATAGTTAAACACAAATTTGCAACAAAATTTTCACATGTCAGATTTGCAGATTATATTGCTTTAATCTCAAATGTCCAAAAGTCAAAGCAAAAACGGACATATTAAATATGTGAAGTGGGATCACGTGCCATGGAGGAGAATGTACCCCCTGCCGACCTGTCACACCCGCCGTCTGCTCCTTGTCATGATCGGGAAACAACGGAAATAATCCGTAGACAATACAGTTTGTAAATAATGGCTTTACAATGAATAAATAATGGCATAATCAATAAATGAACAGGGCATAAACACAGACCCCCATCAAAAAAAAAACATCCAGTAATAGGATCAGGTGCTTATATAGGTAAGCGTCCCAGTTGAACAGTCAATTCACAGTGAGCCCTACGTTTTGATCAAGCAGACAGAACATTTCGTAGTCAATTTAAGTATATTAAAAACAAGTCTTACAATTGGTTTGAAAGAAGTCAGCAAAGAGACGACCGATTCATAAGCAATATTTGATAATAAGGTCATTTAAAACGACTATAGAGTTTACAAAATGCAGACTTTAAACTTTGGACTTTGGTGGAAATCCCTGTAACGCCAACTTATGTGTGATTAGCCTGACTTTGTTTAAAAATTGATCGAACTCAGAGCAAGTTCTTGGGTATCGAATAAGTTAGGAGAGATAAATATCAAATGCAGCTATAGCAGAATATTTATGGATTGAAATACTTGACTACGGAAAAGTCATATCGTTTGTCAAGAATTTAGTTTTTTGTTGGCATTTCAGATATGAAGAACACTGAAGTCATCTTGTTTGTCGGCAAAACATTGAAAGCAAAATCGCACACAAACGAGATGAATTCAAACTATAACATAATGTCACTTTCTCAAAATTCTATTTATCCTTTCACCTTAAGTCTAACTTTTAAAATCTTTGCATGTGTTGGAAACTAAGCTTCACTCTTACAATTTAATCAAAGTCAAACCTGCGTTTCTCTCTGGTTTGTGATTTCTAATAATTGTGTAGTATTTCTCCATTAAGTAACTCAGACGCTTGGCACTCTTTGTCCTACAGACGCTTGTATCTGAACAGAAAGTCCCTCGCCATGGGGCTCGTCTTTTATGTCTGTGAAATCGACGTCCGAATGGAAAGTAAGAGTTTCTATAGAAATCCATTTTCGGACTTGTAAACTAAAAAAGCATTACAAAATACTTTGTCCTATTAGCCATGTTGAAGAAAATATATTTAAAACATTTAAGAATTTAATTTGCATCATCTTTGCTTTCTAGTCTGTTGGTAGATTCTCAGATTTTTTAAAAGTGAAAGCCAATTATATATTATTAATATTATTATGATATGATCATTTATTAAATATGTTTATATCAATCATTAAAGGTAAAAAAAAGCAGTTTACATAAAGCTTGTGAAAACTTCATTAAAAATACTTACCTTTGATTTTTCTTCAATCTAAACAAAGTAGAGAAGAAAATCATAAGTCCACCTTTTTATATTAAATTTACATTTTAATGCAATTAGATGAAAGAGATAAAAATGTTCATATCTAGAAAAAAAATTGAATGATTCAGAAGTACACATTCACATTTACTCTCTTCATTACATGATATTTATTCAATTTTATTGTTATTATACATTTCATTACATTGGAGTGTCAAAAGGTCTAGCTAGTCTTTCCTGTTGTGTCTATATAACGGTTATACTGCATAATAAAGAAAAGAAAGTAAATTATTAACAATGGACGATCATCTAATAATTGTCTACATTAATGTAAAGCAATGTAGACTTTAGTATAACGGAAGACAATAAATAAATGACATTCCGACATTTTATATCACAAGCTTTTCAAGATGACCCTTTTAAATGCTAAACTATTGACATTGATACACATATGATTTACTCGTATAGTTTCCGAATAATTTGATACCATATGACGAATTAACCTAAGTTCTAATTAATAAGTATGTGGAATTATATTTTATTGTAAAATTGCTGACGAATAATATTTCCTTAAACACAGCTCATTTAATTCCATGATGAAACTTGATTTTTGATTCATTTATGATAAGTATATTATTGAATGTACATGAAATATTATTTAAAGTTGGAAACAAATGTAGATTAATTTTAAATTTTTGGAATATTTACCTCCACCATGATTGCAATGACTGCCAGCCCCCCGGGTTTGGTCTGTGCTTCCTCAATACTCTCATAGCGATCGTCATAGAAAACCATGTGGGCCTACAATCACAAAAAATACATAAAAAGAGAATCTTTGAATTTGATCGATCAATAAGAACATGCATGTGTGGGGAAGGAATGTTAAAAATATAATTTGCTGAGTGTCAAATTATTAATACAGAATATACTGTAACACTTGATTGAAATGAACGTAAAAGGGAATTTGGTTCATTTATTAAAAGAGCCTAAAGCACTGAAGATCATGAATTAAGTTTTCTACGGGATTCGGTAAAGTTTTCATAAAAGCTGTCTTCCTTTCCATTATAGAGGGATTTTTCTCATATTTCAATGTAAATTAATGAAATCAGCTCAGGGTCATTATCTTTTCCCTGGACAGTCAAAAAACCCACAGTACTTTTGACAATAATGCAATGCCCATGCCATTATGAAAGTTTCCTTTTTGCACCAAAAGTTATTTCTGGTGGATTTTTTTTTTCATTTTTTCTGTTTTCGATAAACTTGTTGTATAGTGAATAGATCTCCCATCCCCTTTATTTCTAATTACCTCCATAGGGTAAAACCTGTTGTTCAGGGAATGTTCTGACCCCCTGGTCTCCCTCTGCCCCAGATGAATGTGAACTTCCTGGAAGACATAACCTTTATTTCCGCTGTACGGGACATTCCCGAGTTTGACCTTTGTCGGATTATCAGCCATAAAGTGTGGCGAGTGTCCTAGACAAAAAATAAATAAATAAACTCTGTTTATGAGACTATAAATAGTTGATTTCCAATAAACAGCTGATTTACAGCTGTTTCCTTCTACTGACACAATGCCCTATTTCTTGGCTTTCACGTGTCACAAAATGTTGACTTACTTTTTACATTTTGTTCTTGTTACGGAAAAAGTCTTCAGTTGTTCCCCCTCTCTTTTTTAGAGATCTCATTATATTGTATCTTTATTTTAAGATTTGATAGAAATGTCTCTTTTGTGAATTAAATTATTATATTAATAACTTTTGTTGCTCCTCACTAAGATATTAATAGCAGTGAAGGAAAAAATTCAAGAGTACTTGAATTATATTCAAGAAGTGGTGTGAATTAGATAAGGATACTCAAAAATTTCAAAGAACTTTTGGACAATTTGAAATCAGAAGATTGTACAAAAACCAACAGCTAAAAAACTTACGACTTTTCAACTTTATACACAACCATTCCCCACGATAAATTAAAGTCCAGGCTTTTTGATATCATTGACAGATGCTTTTTCAATAAAAATGGAACTCGTAAATTTACTTTCCTAATCATTGATCATTTGCAAAATTATTTTGTTAAAACACATTCTGATTGCACACACAAGTACTCTGAAGTTGACATAAAAAAGATGCTTGAGTTTCTAATTGACAATATGTTTGTGGTTTTTGGAGACCAGGTCTTCCAACAGTCTTTCAGAATTCCCATGGATACCAATTGCGCTCCGTTATAAGCAGACATATTTTTGTATTCACTTCAAGCAAAATATGTCCAAAATCTTATGCGTGAAAAGAAGAAAACACTTGTTGTGGTCTTCAGCTCGACATTTAGATAAATCGACGACATTTTGTCAATTAACAATGGTAATTTCCATTCCTACGTCGATACGATATATCCCGGAGAGCTTGAGATAAAAGATACCACAGAGTCTGACACTTCTGTTTCATACTTGGATATTTTATTTGAAAAAGACGTTAATGTTACTTTAACAACCAAGCTTTATGATAAATGCGATGACTTGAACTTTTCTATCGTCAACTTCCATGCTGCTAATTTACCTTCATCACCTGCATTCGGCGTTTACATATCTCAGTTTATTCGATACGCAAAAGCAAGCTCTACGTATGAACAATTTCTAAAAATCGGTAAATTATTGCGAGCAAGTTGAGGAAACAAGAATATCAGCAGTTTCGTTTAAAATCATCATTTCGTTAATTCTATGGTTGAAACAATGACCTTGTCAACAAATACAATTTATCATTAAGTCAAATGCTGACTGACGTTTTTCATAGTAATTGTTAGTCCATTATTTATACATTGAATTGACGACGGTTTTTTCGTAATTTTCCGATCGTGACAAGAAGCACACGGTGGGCGTGAATGGTCAGCAGGGGATGCTCACTCCTCTATGGCACCTGATCCAATCTCTGATGTTTTGGAGGTTCTTGTTTGCTCTGCTCCTATTTTGTATTGTTTTATGGACTTTGAGATGGAATACTGTTCGTTATCTCCATATCCTTTTTTATGGAAAAAGAATATTAACAGTCTTGTTTTTAACCCGTGCCACATCTACATATACAATGACTACTTCAGCAAATACAATTCATCATTGAGTCAAATGCTGACTGGTGTTTTCATTGTTATTGTTAGATTATCATTTATACTGAATTGATAACAGACTTTTTCGTTATTTTCGTATCATGTCAAAGTACACACGGCGGGTGACCCGTCGGCAGGGGATGTTCACTCCTCCATAGCACTTCATTCCACCTCTGATGTTTTAGAGATGTTTTCGTTGCTCCAATTTCGATTTTTTTTATTGACTTTTGATCTTGAATACTGTTCATTATCTCCATATGTTTCATTATTGTTGTATCTTGTTGTCGTATCAGATAGAGATTTTTTCCCCTCATATGAAGACGTCCCTATTACTAGTATATAAAGTGGAGGGCTTCAAATTGAGGCCTTTACTAGGCACTGAGTCATTAAGCAGTGAGGTTCCCTTATCGTGCCAACACCTACTATGACGAAAGGCCTTGGTTTTTAAAGTCTCCTCGGAATGGCGCACAACTTTCACTTCAAAGTACACCTACCGAGCGTATCAGCGCTTGGCGGAGAAACAGTTGCTACCTATTTCTTTCAGTTGCGGCACTGATTCCAACACAAGACCTTCCGATAAATACGATTGCAAATAAAAAACAAAAGATTTATCAAAGGTAGCAAAAAACATGTATAATAATGAAACTCATGACAAATGAACACTTCACTTTCTTCTCTCCTTGAAATATCCTGAGTACAAAAATTAACTCACCATTATTCCTTATTATAGCAGTGATGCGCTCACAAAGATCTAGGAATTTTAGTCCCCTGAAAGGACGATAAGTTGTTTTCTCTGTTTTGATATTTATTGGCGACTGAAGAAGAGAAGAACAGTTGCCCCAGCATGGTGTGACCCGATCCCAAAAATTTGGACCTGCATATGGCAAGTGCGATTCAGTTAACAAGTTTCTCTTTTTTATTTAAAATCAAGTATAAAGAAAAAAATCTTAAAGGGATAAAAGGAATAAAACAATGCATTTATTTTCCAGTTTTTTTTTTAATTTTGGAATTATTTTCTTATAATAATCTATATATTTTTTTCAAAGATATTTTTGAAAATGTCTTAGAATTGAAAAAAGTAATTCAAAACAAAAAAAGAAAGATAATTCTCATATGAACTTGTAGTTCTTTAGAAGGTTACACTTGCAACTAATTTATTTAAACAGAAAGGAAATAGCTTATCCAAGGAAAAGTTTTTTAAATCCATTTTTTAGTTGAAATTTTTAAAAAAAATGGAAATACGCAAAATATTTCTGTCCAGATCTTTAATAAATAAATAGCATAATTGTAAGAATATCTCACCTTGACAGCTGTCCCTGTTGTAACTGAAGTGAGCTAAATCACAGTTCTCCTCCCTGCAGTTCCCTGTGTGTCGGTTTCTGTACATGTATCTAGAATAAATAGATGTCCCCTGCAAAACAGTCACTGTCGTAGATAAAAATAAAAGATAAAATAAGGATGTCTGGCACATACTATTGAGGGAAATGTACGAAATCTCGATTGAAGTAAAACTGATTATTATTTTCCAAGCGATGATTATTTATACTGTAACATCGCGGATGTCAACATTAGATGTAAATAAGTTGCACTGAATAACTAAAGATTCATTTCTCAACAGGACAACAGTACTACTACCAAGTTACACTCAACATGTCCCAGACCGGAACTTATTTTTAACCTGTGGCCCATAATACCGCGGGGAAACCCCTTGGTCAATCTAATTTATGTCATTCAGGGCGTCCATCGTATATGAATAAGTAAAACATAGCATTAAATTAGTATCTATGTTCTCATTTCTAACTTTGTTAAGAATTACTATTGTAAGCCAACATTTTGAAGTTAATGAAATTCTGAACAAAAGTTTGCAAATCAATGTTTGGTTTTAAGTTGATTAAGCAATAATGATTAAAAATCAAAAGTCTAAAGCTTTATAGTGATATCAATTGCTTATTTGAGCTAAAACTAATCTTTTAAATAATAGATTTACCTTTTCTACTTGCAAATTGAGAGCTTCATGAAGCGAAAAAAAACACACACACACACATCAAAAATATTCTCTTCTAAACGTTCATTTAAAGCTCTTACCCAGAAATCATTCGTATTGCTTTTATTTAATTGATCACAAATTAAAATACAGAAAAAATGCAAAAAGAAACTTTTCAGTCATATTTAATTTTATTACGAATGGAAAATTAATGCAAACATGCATCGGACCATATACTGATATTTGGGATTTTCCTTTTAGAAGTACTAGTTCTAGATCATAGAAATCCCCTGAATAGTTTGCAAGGTTCATTAGTATACATGCTCTGAAGAAAATGACAAAATTTACCATGTTATTTTCAAACACGAATAATGCAATTAATTAATGAATTAAAACGTTCGTGCACCTTACAGGCAGAATTTACGGAATGTATTAGTACTTAATGAACAAAACTCAGTCTGTTTGTTAAGGTAATTGAAACATGCACTTTATTACTTACTTACAATCTGGAAATGCATAATAAATTTAATTCACGGTTGCCTTTTTTAATAAGGAAAGGTAAATCTATTTTTATAATTCTTCTTGAATTAATATACGAACGGTATATTGGGACACGCTTTGCTTAAAGATTTTACTCAATAAATAATATTTTACTACTACATAGATATTAGCAAGCAAATAATTTCAATATTATCTTAACATCTAATTCAGATACTTGAGCTAATTAAATTGCTTTATAGGAAAATAATTCTCTTGATTATAGATCAGAAGAGGTCTAAAATTCAGATTTATTTCTGAAATTGAGAGTAATAATAATAAAAAATGAAACTGACAATTAACTCAAAAAAATCTTCCTGATTTTGTTTGTAAGGCTCATCTTTAAATTGTTTTTCTTTAAATGGAATAAATAGGATTTAAAAGACATTAATGGTAATCAAACAACCGAGCTCTATTACTCTAACTTTTCTATCGTCAACTTCCCTTGTTTATGCAACAATGTACCTTCATCAGCTGCATACGGAGTTTATATATCTCAATTGATTCGATACGCAAGAGCATGCTCTACGTACATGTATTATCTAAAACGAGGTAAATTATTGACAAACAAGTTGATGAGAAAAGAATATCAGCAGTCTCGTTTAAAGTCATCATTTCGTAAATTATATGGTCGATACAATGATCTTGTCAGCAAATACACTTTATCATTGACTCAAATTCTGACTGACGTTTTTTCATACAAATTGTTAATCCATTATTTATACACTGAATTGACAACGGATTTTTTCCGTTATTTCCCAATCATAACAAGGAGAACACGGCGGGTGTGACCAGTCGGCAGGGGATGCTCACTCCGCCATGGCACCTGATCCCATATCAGATGTTTTGGATGTCCTTGTTTGCTCTGCTCCTTTTTTTTATTGTTATATAGCCTTTGATACTGAATACTGTTTATTGTCTCCATATCCTTTATTTATGGACTTTTGATCTTGCCATATGAATCATTTTCAAAATTCTGGATAAAAATTTGCACCAGTAAAATCAAAAGTGTAACAAAGAAATTAACTAACTTAAGTTTCTATTACTCTCGGCATTCTTATAACCTATGAGCGGTTAGGTTCTATTTAATATTGCGCCAGTGTCACTTGCTATAAGTGAATAAGTTAATGTATAGTCTATGACTTTTCTAAAGAATTTATTGTCTGCTCATAGGCAATTCAGAAAATTGTTAATATGATGTGAACAATTCAATGCTTTTGTAACATCATATTCACATTAAGGGGAATTTGTAAAACAAATTCATCAAACATAAAATTATTTTGACTGCATTATAAATGCTTTGACCATCATAATGATTATACAATCCACTTATATTTGATAAACACTAAATTCTCAACAAAGAGTATGATCCTTTATTTTACTTATAAAAACTGGTAATGTAAGCAGGTGGTTCCTGTCTCTAATTGTCACGTGTCACTAGGTGGTGGAGGTGGTGCAGGTGGTGGACTTTCAATTTTTGGTTGTGTTTTAATGATTGTACTTAGAATAATATGATCGCTACCAGCAATAGCAGCTGAAAAGAGAATAAAACAGAAATATAAAATAGCGATTTACATCTGCCTGAAATATTTCACTCTGAAATTTATGATAAACTTATCTATCGAAAAAAAAACATCAATTGATACAATCTATGTAACAAATACAACCGTGTTTAAAACCTTGATATCAATTGATACAATCTATTAAACAAATACAACCGTGTTTGAAACCTTGATATTACAATTGTTGAAATATCCATTTTAAATCGTAAAATCTGTAATTTCTAACAACGCACTGTCACTTACCATATCTTATTGGCCTTTTGTTATTCGCCGTCAAGAAAGGTTGAATCTTAGTATCGTCAAATTTGACATCATTTTTCTGTGTCCTTTTAGGTAGATAATCTTCCCTTTCCTTGTCATCTGTCTTTACCTTTTTTCGTTTTCTGCTGGATGGAGTGTCTGATCTGTCATCGTTGACTTTGCTGGTATCGCTACTTTCGCTTGTGATAAACTTTCGTTTTATTTTCTGGTTTCTTTCGGTTTTACTTGCATGTGTATTTTTTATATAAACCTTTTTTGTGTTTTTAAATGGTACATCCATTCTGCTGAAATGTTCACCAAGACATTATTTCGTATAAGGTTAACATAGCATTGATATCATATTATCGTTAAATGCGTACTTCCTTTTTACAATAGTTAAATAAATAGAGATAAAATTTGTAAATATCCATTTAATATAATATTCTCATACATCAATGTAAACAAGGATTTGATTACATGTGTGTATGTTACGGTATGCAAGATCGAGAAAATGTGTTTTTACCTCTATCTTGTTTTTTCGCTGCTAATCAATGGCCGATGTTAGAAATTTGAATAACTTCGACTTAAAATAGGCATGTTTTCCATACGTATAAATTTATTTTCTTCCTGTTTCATATTATACTAATCTATCTCCTTTATATCTATAGAAAATTTATCTAAAACCGAGGTTCATTATAATAGAATTCAAAAACATTCTTATTGTGTAAAGAAATTGGCAAACTTCCATTTAAAAAAACCTTTTTAAAGATAACGACAGGAATAATAAAGGGGTGTGACTTTACGTGACCTTTTCAATAAGTCAACCAAATTTAAATATCATGAAAAAAGAGTAATATTTAACATACGTCAATCACAATATTGCAAGGAGTTATTTCAAAATATTTATTTATTCTATTCCTGTTTCATATTAAACCTGTCAGTCCCCTTTATTAGAACGTCTATGTTTCATACTTCTACACCATTGAAATATCTACTATGATATGTTCCTCTAATTGCCACCTTTTGCTTCTTATATATAACAAATAAGCTAATATCTTCCTGCAAAAAATACAGAATTCGCGTACCACTTCAAGTAGATTTTCAGCAATGATTCTTTTAAGAATATTCTGAATTTGAATGTTCGATATATAACGTGCATATCTCTAAAGCATTTGACTTAAATAGAAAAATGGACATTGCATCCCTTCAATGTATTCTATGGAATACATAACTTCAATCTGATTTAGGTAGACTTCAAAAGTCGAGTAAATGTCGCATGGGGCAAGTTCTGAAGAGGATGGTTTTCGACGTTTACCTTTTAAGATATGATCCGATTCATGTCATGAAGAATTATCAAGAAGTAGACTAACCTGTCTAAATCCTGACACAGGGCGACGTTTATGATATTAAAAATCATATTTTCGCACTTTCTACACTTTTATGACTAAAAGACAAATATGAATTTACTAACAATAATCTGCTACCAGCACTTTAAAAAAATATACATCATCTTAGTAATTTATATTTCGGATTTCAAATAAATCAATACTGTATATGTCCTTGTGCGTTTGAAATTAATTCGAATATCGTACTGGCGATTAATTTACTTCTTAAAGCTGTATGGCTTTATAACATCTTTATTAATTAATCATTTAGTACACAATTGATTTAAATAAATGTTCAGCTTTTAGTTTTATTTTTCTGATTTTAATAGTTAAATATAATTTTATATATATACTCAACAAAAAAAGAAACGCATATTCAGAGTAAATATGAAAATCTGAGTTTTCAGTTTAACCTTATTTATCAAAAGTGATTTTAGAGTGTGTTGTGACAAAAATCAAACATGTCCTATGTTGCGAATTGAAATGTCAAGTTGATGTCATTTTCATCACCCCCCCCCCCCAATTCAAGGGGCATAATAATGTGTACTGTGCGACGTCTTAGTGCTAGTGGGTGTGTACGGTTGTCGTGGACGAGTACCAGCTCGCTCCTCCTAGTCTCTTGTGAACAATTTGTGAACTTTTATGCTGATTTCTTCAACTAGAAATTGTAGCAGCAGTTTATGCTGAAGTTCTGAATTGATTGCTATAGGGGGGTCTGACGGTCGTGTCTGGGTGTGGTAACCCATTGACGGCCAGTTTTTGGTCTGTCATCCATGTTTTTAGCTGGTGGAGACGTACGTTAAACCGCTGCAAAGTCGATTGATGTACACTAAATGCAGTTGCAACCTCTAGTTGCGTAGTTCCGGTTATTATTATAGTTAGCCCGCATTGTGTTTATCTTTTTTAAGGCGTGACATCGCAACATCAACATTGTTATAAAATATTAAATATGGGTTTAATAGGAGTAATTATTGTTTCTCTAAATCCAAAATATCAATTAAAATAGACCACCGGTTTATAAAAAATCATGAAAAACACTATTTTCATAAACATGATTATTCAAGGGAAATAACTCAACACTGTGGGTTTAAAACCCCATGTTGTCCTTTAAATATATCACAGGTAACTAATGATAAAAAAGGTAGCTGTTCCATATACTTTTTCAAAATTTCTTCTATGAGAAAAACAATATTTCTTTTTTTGTTGAGCATAGTTTCATTTTTTTTTAATTTCATAACTTCTTGACCAATCATTTGTTATACCTCAATGAACCTAACAGCAATGACGTCATATCTGGCACAAAATTAGGATCTCTCCAGCTGTGCTTTCATCTTATGGTTAGATTTTGTATGTTTAAGGAATAATAGATTTTTTTTAAAATGCAATAAGATTGAATTGTTGTTTTGTTACTTACGAAATAAATAGTGACATACATTCTTTAGATATCAGTTATTTTTATTTTTAAATAGATTTCCTTAAAAAATCAAAATCTTTCAACTCTTGAAATATTGCAAGTTGGTAAACCTTACAAGATTGCTCATAACCTTAGAATGTTTTATGACCTTGACTCAAGGTCACTTTGTTCTCTCCGGAGCTCCGACGGGAGAACTGCTCGTTGCTTTGCAACGAGCTCTGTTCTAGTTTCTTTATCTTGTTTTGTGACTCTCCTGTCCATTCCTATTACTACTTGTACTCTGTCAATAATAGCAAGGCTAATCACTTTACATATAATAAGTTAATACATGTACTCAGCAGTATTGTTATTTAATTGTGAATTACATGAACATCTGTTTTTACGTATGCGTCACTATTTGGTTAAACTGATTTTTGTTATCTAATTATATACAATCTAATAAACTACGGATTTTATGTTGCTTTCACGATCATGACAAGGATTTAAAATTAATCTTCTCACAGCGTGTATTTTTGGGGGATTTGGGTTTGGGCAAATATTTGAAAATTTGCTGCATTAAACTTTGATTTCAAGAAATTGATGATCTCATAACCCCGTTCCCTAAATATTATAAATTTCATAACTACTTTAAATAACAAAAATGCAGAAATGTTTTAAAAATGTTTTACTGGTAATTTTCATAAATTTTAAATTACATTATAAAATTGATTATTTCATCAATAAAAATCAATGTAATTGATTGATTATCAGTCTGATTAAAACCTGCCCCCTTCTCCTTTCACTCGACTCGACTGAGCCCATAAATATTAGTAACATGTATTTACCTGTATTTGAGGGTGATGCCATGTTGGGGTTCATAGGTCAACGGACAGACCTACGGACAAAGTCTAGGTGGTTGGTGATGGTGAATTAGACAATGAAATGCATTTTTATATCCGGGGCCATGGATACCCACTAAGCACAAAATACCCTGTTTTGGTCAGAAAAGAGCATTCCAGGTTTTAATCCTAAATTACTAACTCTCATTTATTCTATTTTTGGGAATCATTCTTTTGGACTTTTGTTTATATATTTATTGGGAGTTCGGTCTTTACATGTTACTCTTTATATTTTGGACGTACCCTTTGAACATTAATAGCAACAGTGCATTGGTTTATATGGATCAAATTTCAATTTTCGAAAACTATAAAAATCATTAAGATCACGGAAAAATTGTAAATTGGATTTATCTAATAAACTTTTGAAATCAACCAACGTGTCCATTGGCTTACAATTATCGAAACTACCCCTTTCACAATAAACCAACTGCTGTATGTGTGCATATATTGTTGTATTCAAAGTTTAGCGCCACCACTTGGCATTTCCAAATAAGGAAGAACGAGAAAAACATTGATGTAACCATGAATTGTCGCCCGGGAAATACATAAAGTAAACAATGGAAATGAGTCTTAATAATAATAATCTTTAATAAAGTATAGGCATTTTGAAATGTACATGAACATTGAGGTGTGAGTATTATAAATTATAAATATACATCCTTTAAGAGATAAGTAATATAACAAGTTTACTAAATTTTAATTTTATATAATTAAAATAAATATATTATATTATATAAATATGCTTAAATCAAAGGATAGTCCAGGAAAGAAAGTATGGCTTATTTCCTATGGGGTCCTTTACATATCACAAAATTATTGGCATATGACATATATAAAATACTTACTAAAACAATAAATAGTATACTAGCTATAAACGAGATGGCTTTAAAATTAATCGTGCGTATTATGCAATAGCATCTAAAACCTGAGTTCTTAATTGTATATGAAGAAAGAACAGTTGAGATATAAAATTAATGGTATAAAAAATCATCGTTGGCATTTTTCTTAGGTTTCTCCATAAAATATTTTTGACCTCTTTTTTGAATTTTGTTTTACTTGTTATTGCTTTAATATGGTCAGGTAGAGAATTCCAATCTTTGATTCCATTATAAAAAAAAGTTTTGACTCTCCATTTTTTTTAACCCTTGGCACAAAAAATTAAAACTGATTTGACCTTGTACACTTTTTTTGAATCATTTCGATTAAAATTGCAGTGCATATGATTTGGACCTTTCTTATGAAAACTTTTGTAAACATGATTGAGGCGTAACGGGCACATTCTACTTTTAATGTTCAAAAACCCCAATTTTTCAAATTCAAAAACTCTTGATCTAGGTGAAACATCAAGAATGAATATAATAATCTTATTCTGTACAACCTGTAGTCTATTTTTTGATTTGTCAGAGAGTGCTTCATACCAACTAGTACTAGCATAATCAATGTGACATTGAATTAATGCGGTACACAGTGATTTTCTAGATTGCATTGACAAACATGATTTTTGCCTATATAAAAATCTAAGTCGTTGGTTTGTTTTGCTAATAATAGTTGATCACCAAACCGCTTTGATTTGTGTGAAAAGGCATGTGTCTAATAGATGGAGACGATAGTTGCAAATATTTTGAAAACTAATAGTCGGATAAATATCAAACAAATACTGTGTCATTTTAAACTTAAATTCCTCGAGTAAATGTTGGCTACATAAAATATAAATTAAAGTTAGACACATGCATAACCTATATTCAAATAGTATTTATTTTTCAATTCTAGAATATAAAACGCAAACTGTGCAGAGTACGTTTTTGTGCGAGAAGTAAAATTCGATGTTCTAAAAAAGGGACCTGTTGTTTTTTCGATAGTAAATGATAAGCAACTTTATATATTAAATATGAAAATATTTTTAAAAATTCACTTTATGAAGTAAATATATTATGTGTCTCATAATTTAAAAAGAAAAAGAACATTCTGATTAACAACCTTTTCAATGTTTAGAAAACCTTTAATTCTGCATATCTACTCCCACTCCAATCTCCATACACCAACACTTAAACTTATATGCCCAGGCTGCAATAAAAAAGATGCTAGTTCTTCTGACCTATCAGATAACAGAATTTAAACAAACTCATGATAAAAGAAATAGAACACGTGGTTTTCGCTCGTAAGAGTTTTTGAGAAGAATTTTTTTTTGCAAATTTTATGCACATTTAGGGACAATTTAATATTAATTCTACCGTGAACAAACATACAGAAGCCCGTTTAGGACCTATCAAAAATATTTTTGAATTCGTCAAAACGATTTTTTAAATTCGCTATAACGAATTAAATTTTTTATTACAGATTTATTGAATTCGTTATAACGAATTTCAGAAGTCGTTATAACGAATTCAAAAATATTTTTGATAGGTCCTAAACGGGCTTCCGTACGGATCTGATTACAACAACTGTTTTGTTAAACCCAAGTTGTAATTTATTTTCTGAACCGTTTGCAGTAGTTTTGATCATGGTATCGTATGGCGCAGCCAATAAAAAGAGTGTTATCAGTCAGCAGATCGATAAACAGATTGATAAGTCGTCTTATCTTACACTTCCTAGCTACCTTATTCTAGATTACTCTGAAAATGACATTCATACTGGTAGGTTAAAACTCATTATGGCTTTTTCGTACTTACCAATTATGTTCATTCTATCCATTTGGTTCACAAATTCACAAAGGATGTATGACGACAACACGATATGTTGTAAGTCAGAGGACAATGTTCACCGGGAATGGTTCAACAAAAAAGAAAAATTTCTTACCTTTCGCCTTCAACAATCTAATATAACACACGTTCAGCAAGAAGAATTAAAAAAACTCAGAGCTGAGAACCAGGAAATTAGAAGTCGACTAACTATTCTTGAAAAATTATGGGACTCCAGTAAAGGTAGATATAAAACGCAAATAGTATTAAATTCATAGAAAAGTAGTGGGTAGTACGAAAGAACTCATAGGATGCATTAGTGAAAACTAAAGAAAATAATAACTCCCGTAGAAATTAAAACCTGGCGTTGATGTTTTGTCGTCGAAAAAAGATCAAATAGACATAGAAAATTTGATTTTGTTAAAAAAAAATAATAATGATAAGAGGCCATTGTTAACACGTTGAATCGTCGACGGATTTTTCCGTTATTTCCAAATCATGACAAGGAGCAGACGGCGGGTTAGACCAATAGGCAGGGGATGCTCACTAATCCATGGCACCCCATCCCCCATCTGATGTTTTAGAGGTCCGTGCTTGCTCTGCCCCGTATTTTTTTTTTTATTGTTTAATGGTCTTTTAAACTTGAATATTGTTCGTTATCTCTATGAATTCAATTATCATATTTGCATCCCATAAGAACTTGACCTCCGTTGAAAATTTATTCCTATCGAAACAGTGTGAAATTAATAAAAAAGATTATGTTTCGGGTGAAAATCATTATACAAATATGGACTCCATGTAGGTCAATATGCATTTATAATGACCCAGGATGACAGATTATTGACCGAAGATACATGGAGTATATCGACCGAGGGCGCTAGCCCGAGGTCGATATACTTCATGTATCTTAGGTCAATATCTGTCATCCTGGGTCATTATAAATGCATATTGACCGTGCATTGAGTCCATATTTATTATATTATATAAATAATAATTTCCGAAATTTATTAGTACAATGTATATCTTCCTCATGTTTACAGAGACCTAGTATTAACCATAAATAAGTTGAATGTATATGTTTCAGAATTCATTGAATGTTACTCAGAGGAATTGTTTCGGTAATAAATTTTAACCCATATCATAATAATAACGCAAGATATCTATCTTGGAATTTTGTATGGCTGAGATAACAAAAAAAAATCATTTAAGAAAATAAACAAAAAAAATAATGATAATATTCTCTCTCCCTCCTTTCACACCACACTCAAGCTAGAATAATATGAAACAGTGATAAATATACAAATATCTGATACAATGTAAATTACTTTAAATCAGCAGTCTTTTTGTTCAATTCGCGTATCAGATAATAAGATTAACAAATAGCTGTTCTTTATAAGAAATTAGAAAAAGTTCACTTTAATAAATAATCTGTATAATAGTTTTTGGAATTTCCTTTCTCAAATTTTATTTACAAACACAATTCACTGAAATTCACTATTCATGTCACTAGTCACGCTGAAGGACTCCCGCCACCACGTGCTAATCCGCCCCGATAAACTCACATGCGGACAATCGACAAAAGAGACTTGCTGGTCTCACCCTCCGGCTTGGAAAGAACGTCCTACGTCCTAAAATACCACACACCTTCAGCACCCGCATGACCATCCATACTGTCACCTCACACCACGTATAGGTCTCTTATTGGTGTCCGTCGAGGATTTTAACCAAACACTCCTCACGTCTTACTACGCTGTACGAACTGGAAATATCATACGTTTAACTAACCCTAAGATAACTTTACACAGAGAAAAAACCAAACAAAAGAACATACTTACAATAATGAAAACTGGTTTAGTGGAGGTAGGTCTAACTGATCCAGTCAAATGTGTCACATGGTAAAGTGGTTGTAGGTCCTACTGCTCCAGTCAAGCGTGTAACATGGTTAAGTGGAGGTAGGTCATACTACTCCAGTCAAGTGTGTCACATGGTTAAGTGGAGATACACCTCACTGCTCCAAATCAAGTGTGTCACTGGTTAAGTGGAAACCCATACTACCAGTCAAGTGTGTCACAAAAAATAATAAACAGAAACTAAACATGCATGCATTCACACAAAACTGAACAATAATTGAATCAACTTTATTATAGATCATACTGCTCCAGTCAAGTGTGTCACATGGTAAAGTGGACGTACAAGTAGCTCATACTGATTTAGTCAAGTATGACCGTTAAGTGGAGGTAGGTCATACTGCTCCAGTCTGCTGAAGAGACTCATGTCGAACAAAAATTCTCCGTTAGGCACTTAAAAATTGATTCAGATTTGTAGAGATTCCTTTCTTCCTTGCTCAACATTCACAACTTTTGTAAATGTTCTCATATAGAAGCGATTGCAGTTATCTTCATCCTTTTGAACAAATATTTTTCTATTTTTTTCTCCAGGAAAGAATGATATAATTTTTTTAAAGAAAAATTTGGTACATTTAAGGGTTTCAAATAGTTACTGTGTATTTTGTTATTTACAGTGCATGCAGTGGTACTGTACAGTATACTAGTATATATTTGATATTCCTCTTACATTGCATTATCAATCTTTGTTTTCATTTTTGATCAAGTGCAGTTAAGACATTTAAAAATTAATAAGAGGAGAAATATCCTCGTTTTAGGATATCAGAAAATAATGAATTTTTAGCATTTATTTTAGAATATAAATACCTGGACACCATTCTGCCAGAGGTTTTGCTGATGAATCGGGGTAATTGTTAGCACTATGCATGAAGAAGCCTGCAATCAGTCAAGATATCACTGTAGTACTTGTACACAACTCTTTTATCCTGATAATTGTTAGCATTATGTATTGAGAAAAAAAAACCTTCAATCAATGAATATATTACTGTGGTACATGTTTTTAGAGTCAATAAATTCTTTAGCTTAGATATTATAATAAATGTAGTACTAAAATAGATTATTAAGCATTTACTTTTATGTCTAATTGTTGGAGGGGGATTTCGACCCATTGAACAGGTTGCGTCGTCTTTTAAACGGTAGATTTTGCAATCCGATGAATACGTAAAGGTATAACAGGATTGCTTTTCTCTGCATATCTTCTCACACTGTTCTTCAGATGTTACACTATTGTAAACTGTATCTAAGCAGAACTTAAATGGAACCTCGTCTTTCAGGGATTCTTTTGCCGTGTCCTTCATACATGCCTCAAGTTCTACAATACAAATGCGGTAGATCAAATAAAATTGAAATGAAAAAAGTTTTAAACAACTAAAGTTGTGCATTGTTTAGCAATATTTTTGTCACCAATTGATATAGGAGATATGTAAAACTTAGAATACATGAAAATCCATTAAGATATGATAAATAACTCATGTCAAAGTTTTACTTATGTAAAATTTTCTAAAGTATACCTTCACTATTACTTTCGCAGATAAACATCTTTTCTTGAGAACAATCATCTGTGATGAAGTTCTGCTCTGTTCTGTTGTAGTAAAGACAAACCATATCACTCGGACCTGCATCACTTATCTTTACTGGAAGCTGAGGATCTAAAGATTTACAATTTTCTAACATGCTCTCATTGGTAGAGGACCGAAGGAAGGCTTTAATCCATACTCCAGTGGAATGACTGAAACCAAAAAAATCTAATAATATTTAGAAAAACATAATTAAATTGTTTGAATGATGCACAGAAAGATATGAGATATGAAAATAAAGAACAGGGATCATGCTCATATTAACATGTAATCATCCTGATAACGAACAGTATTCAAAGCATTCAAAAATCCAGAAAACAATACAAAATAGGAGCAGAGCAAAAACGGACCTCCAAAACATTGGAAGTGGGATCAGTTGCCATGGAGTGAGCATTACCTGTCGACCGGTCACACCCGTCGTGTGCTCCTTGTCATCCGGGAAATAAGGGGGAAATCCGTCGTTAATTCAGTGTATAAATAATGGACTAACAATTAGTATGAAAAATGTCAGTCAGCATTCCCTTCCCATCAGTCATATCTGTTGAGTGTTTCTTAAATTGTCATAATCGAACAAACAGGAAAAAAAGTAGACAATGCAATCATTATGTTAGTTCATATTTTATTGTTTATAAAGAGATGATTAAAATCATCTTAGGATTTTACAAGTTCTTAACATACCTGTAAATTAATGGAGTCAAAAACAATTCATCAACCTCCTGTAAGACTAAATCTATGAGGTACATCTCAGTTAACGATGTTATCGTAACTAAAGTCCTGTTGTTTTCGGCGCATGTGTCGTACGCTGTGTGCCATGACGCAACCGGAAGTTGGACTCTGTATCTACATTTCGGATCTTTCACTGGAAAATAAAACTTTAATTTGTGACTGGTGCTTTGAAAACCTCAAGATATGTTACATTAAATATTACCCCAATTATTATTCATTTCATAAACTGTTTCGATGTTGTGTTGATATGTCCCAAAGCATGCAAAACTAGAGTCATCGTTTTATTTCCGTCTTAATTTTTTGCAATTGTCATTCATTTTCAATCTCAAGTCTAAAATGCACTGTATAAGCACGTTTTCTTTTACGAAACAGTCACTTTCCTCTTATGAAACAAAATGAATATGGGATAATATCTGAGAATTTTACAAAACATTTGTCAAAAACGTGAGAAAACAGCTTTATGCACCATATAAGCGATACATACGAAGCATTTTTATATTACAAACTTGCTTACTTCAATTATATTAATTTAGGTAATCAATTGCCTTTTTAACGATGATTCGGTAATTCGTTTTTGCAGGGCAAATAAATAATGCTTGACGATAGTTCAAAGATAATTAAATCAAATCCCACCAAGAATAGTATTTTGCCCTGCAGTACAAGAGTACCCGAACTTTCTATAGACTGGTGTAACGACACTTAAGGTTACGTTTGCCTACAAGCACATAATAATAATGACTGGAAAACTTTTCAAACTACATCATTTTTTTCATTTCCTATTTATTTTATTTTGTGTGAACTCTTTAGCAAGCAAAAAAAATTCTAAGAACCACAAGACTATACGTATCCCACTTTCAATATTAAATTGGAATTGCATGGATCCCTGATTGTTCTTTCCCACAAAGCTGCATGAAATTTAACACCATTTTACTGGTTATTTAGGGAAACTCAGTTAACCTTAATCATTATACCAAAGTCTAAAAAAAAATTAATAGGTCAATTTATGTAAATTAGAAACATCTTGCTTCCTTTGTCCTGATATTTACTTCATTTTTTTTTTTTTTTTTTTTTTTTTGGTAAGTATCCGAGAAATTAAAATTGAATTTTTCATGAGCAGAAGATGCATTTTATCGACAAATATCTATATTTCTATATATGTTTGATGAGACTGTTGTCGAAGGGTTTTTCCTTGGGGGAAGGATAGAGAGAAATTTGAAGAAGGCTGAAGTATACCATGCGTAGATATCCGGGTCAGCCTCAGACATTCCATATTGTGTCAAAAATGTTGTTTTGCAAATATATTTACAAATCAAAGATAAAAAACATAACAATATTGATATATTCCTGCAAAATTTACTGGAGAAAAAACTGAAAATACAAATACATTTTCAAAAGACGTCTTCAAGAAACACTTTATTCTTAATATGTTTTAATTGTAAACAAACGAGAAAGACATTGTGGGATGCGAATTTTCTTGTTCCACACTTCGAAGTTACTCGTGTAAATGTACATAATGGGTACATTGAGCGATTTCGTGCATCACACTGTCTTTTGTCCATAAATGCGCACTTTTTATGACTTTTTATTCCCTTTAAAACACTTTTTTGAAAGGTATTGGCATAGCTTACATGGATGCTTTGAATGGTAAAAAATGTTATTGAATTAACAGACTTTTTTATATATATATTCATAGGTCATACTGCTCCAGTCAAGTGTGTCACATTGTTAAGTGGAGGTACATGTAGGTCATACTGCTCCGGTCAAGTGTGTCACATGGTTAGGTGGAGGTAGGTCATGCTGCTCCAGTCAAGCTTGTCACATGGTTAAGTGGAGGTAGGTCATACTACTACAGTCAAGTGTGTCACATGGTTAAGTGGAGGTACATGTAGGTCATACTGCTCCAGTCAAGTGTGTCACATCGTGTAATGAGTTCTTTGGAATTTTGTATGGCTGAGATAACAAAAAAAATCATTTAAGAAAATAAACAAAAAAAATAATGATAATATTCTCTCTCCCTCCTTTCACACCACACTCAAGCTAAAATAATATGAAACAGTGATAAATATACAAATATCTGATACAATGTAAATTACTTTAAATCAGCAGTCTTTTTGTTCAATTCGCGTATCAGATAATAAGATTAACAAATAGCTGTTCTTTATAAGAAATTAGAAAAAGTTCACTTTAATAAATAATCTGTATAATAGTTTTTGGAATTTCCTTTCTCAAATTTTATTTACAAACACAATTCACTGAAATTCACTATTCATGTCACTAGTCACGCTGAAGGACTCCCGCCGCCACGTGCTTATCCGCCCCGATAAACTCACATGCGGACAATCGACAAAAGAGACTTGCTGGTCTCACCCTCCGGCTTGGAAAGAACGTCCTACGTCCTAAAATACCACACACCTTCAGCACCCGCATGACCATCCATACTGTCACCTCACACCACGTATAGGTCTCTTATTGGTGTCCGTCGAGGATTTTAACCAAACACTCCTCACGTCTTACTACGCTGTACGAACTGGAAATATCATACGTTTAACTGTACAAACAGGCATCCGGCTGGTGTTATTACCGCTCCCTGATCTGACCACACTGGCCTAACCGGTCACTTTTATACTCACACCTCACGCTAAAAATAGCTTACACACTACACCAGTCTATGGAAACCAACTACCGTCAAAACATAGTCAACAAAATAATAAACAGAAACTAAACAACCATACATTCACACAAAAACTAAACAATAATTGAATCAACTTTATTACATGCACCCCCATTTGGATTCCAGGGGGACTCTACAACACAGTAGCAAAGTATTTCGGTTTTAGCTTGTAAAAAACGGATACATATTTGATTGGTGTGCAAAAATTAAGAAATATAATTCAAATTTTATCTCTCTCATGCATAGCTATGATCTTTCGACGTATTTGTCCCCAGTTCTTGAATCTTCATTTTTCAATCTTTAAAATTAAAATATTCATATTTTTATTTAAATATTGCATCACTATAGTGACATTTTTTTAAAATATGCATCTGGTGTTTCAAAATTGGTTCCGTAGTAGATTTACTAAGTAAATTTAAGCGAATCTGTTGATGCATGTTTTTTTCAACTTGTTTGTCAATATCTTGCCTCATTTATGAATTTTATTGCGTTCGTAGAACATGCATGTGTGTGTCCAATGATATGAGAGACATGCATCCAATATGCAGTGGTTAAGGATATTGCTATAAAAGTTAGGGTAGATGGCATTTGAAAACTAGGTCACCATAAAGCTTTGTTGTTAAGTTAAAAATGTCTGATAATGACGGGGTGCAATTGGTAATCACAGACATTTTCATGGGATTGTTAGGAGACATGGTCTCCAAAAACTACTTTTGTATTATTAATCAGATACTCAAGGATCTTTTCAAAGTCAAATTCAAAGTACTAGTGTTTATAATCAGATTTTTTACAAGAAAACAAAGGTAACAAACGCCCAAAGACAAGGTACGTTAATCAACAAGTTCATATTTTTATCAAAATAAGCCTTGCATGACTTCAATTCATCATAATAATAAAAGAAATACATAATCTGCGCAGCTAATATAATGAAGAAAGCCTCTTTGTGTAATCTAAATTTGATTTTGTCAAAATACTTGATATTTATAGCTAATTTACTTACATATATTATATGGTGAATAATCTAGTTTTTGGTTTATTAAATATTTTGGCACTCTATTTCGTTTCGGATATTTTACTTGAAAAAGACATTGCTGGTAATATAACAACCAAGCTCTATGATAATCGTGATGACTTTTTAAAAACTTTTATCGTCAACTGCCCTTACTTGCAGCAATATACCTTCATCACCTGCAAACGGAGTTTATAGAATCTTAATTGATCTGATACGCAAGAGCATGCTTTACGTATGAACATTTGTTTTAAAAGAAATAGATTATTGAAAGAAAATTTGAAGAAACAATTTCAGTTCAAAGCCATCATTTCGTAAGTTCTATGATTGATACAATGACCGTGTCAGCAAATTCAATTTATCATTGATTCAAACGCAAACTGACATTTTTCATACGCATTGTTAGTTTATTATTTATATATAAGGTTATGAATAAAACCATACTTTTGCGTATCAAAGCAATTGGGGGACATAAACACAAAAATCGTGATGGCTGATTAGCTGATTAGTTTAAGGTACTGTTTCAGCAATTAAGCATATATATATATATATATATATATATATATATATATATATATATATATATATATGTTCGTACAAAAAAATCAGAAATTCCAGCAAAGTAATTTTAAAAAAACACCAATCAAAGATGTATGTTGAAATTTTAGCTTTCTTAGTTTGATGAAGAAACATTTGTTTATGACATCAAAGGTCTCTTTAACTTATCGTGCCGAATATTTGTACAAAGCGTTGAAATGTAATAATTTTTTATGTTTGAAAAAAAGTGAGATTATAAATCCTAAAGTTGTTCGAGAATTTTAAAACCACCATTTGATTTACATTGCCTTTTGAAAATGTTGTACCACGATACTTCTGAAGTTTTCTCTTCACGGTAGTGAAGTTAGGATTGGGGTTTCGTTTAATATTTAATGGATCCTGCAATCTTTGCATGTCAGTATTTTTTTTTATGAAATTTGAACACGTTGAATCCAGTATAAAGTGAGAAACCAAATTTACTTCCACTTCGTCTGATAATGAAAAGGGGATGTTTCCACATCTTATTTCAAACAGTATTTCTCTGTAAACGCATTACAGTGATGTGTTACACTTCAAATGCTTGCTATGGAGAGGGCTATGTATTTTACATAAAATATGTTCAAATCAAATTAAATGCTTGAACAAAATTTTTAAATCAATTAAATTTTCTAATTTCGGAATTATAAACAAGTTATGTTAGTGACACACTGATGCCTCCGAATGGCAACTTAAAGCAAAGGTTAACCTTTCTCAAATGGAAATCAAATTATTTGGTACCCAAAGTAATTTCCTCTCACAAGAAATACACTTGAGAAATGTGAAAGCCCTTTCATCAGCTGTTGAAAAGTTATGGCCAAAATTAAAAGTTTTTAGAATAGGAAGTTAATATTCAGGGTAAAGGTCAAAGGAAGGTTTTGA